GTCCGGATCAGAAAATGTTTGTTTTAAGGGGCGACCTCAGGCAGTTTCCCGCCAGTAACTTTGATTGGTTCCCCTTAATCCAGGGGAGGAGAGAAGGCGGGGAAAACTGCAGGTAGGCACAGGACATGTCTGGGCAAGTTCTGAGTCACAGGTCTGACTCATATGCTCAGCTATGTGGCCACTTTAGGTCTCGCATACCTGGGCAGAGCACCCTACACCGAGCCGGGTCCGAACAAAGAAGCTAGACAAAGGAGCGAAAAAGCCCCCAGCTCCCTGAGCAGAGAAATGGCTCCAGTCAGTCTGCACAAGCCATTTCCATGAGCAGGGCCAGGCTCTGACTTTGGTCAGTTCCATGGCCGGGGCGGGCGGCCACTCAGCACAAACAGAAAGGAAGGGGAAAAAAGGAATCCAGCAGGGGGACAGCTGTAACAGACAATCTGCAGGAGATTGTATATTATATATAGTAGTTAGGAAAACATAGAGCAGGGGTTGGCAACGTTCGGCACGCGGCTCGCCAGGGCGATGTGCTGGCCGCGGCTTCTCGCCGCCCCCATTGGCCCAGGACGGCGAACCGCGGCCAGTGGGGGGCCGCGACTGGCCGAACCTGTCGCGTCAGCAGGTAAATAAAACTGGCCCGGCGAGCCGCGTGCCGAACGTTGCCGACCCCTGACATAGGGTCTAATATTTACTTTATAATGTAAAAAAATAAAAATAGCTTTCTATTGCAAAGACACTCTCGCCTCATTTAACCCAGCCTTGCAGAAAAAGGTCTCCAGCCAAACAAAAGCTGCTCCATAGCTGGGAAATAACCCTCCTTAGTCCACTCTGATCTTTGAGATGTAAACTTCAAAACTTAAATGGGACAATTTACATGTATTTAGCAGTTCCCCCCCCCTTTTTTTTTAATGTACGAGAAGAAATGAAATAGTTGGGCTAAATAAAATGTTAATATTTAAATGCAAGGCAATACAGAAGTTAAGTTTCTAACAAATTTTATATTGGCTTCTTTGAACATATGCTGATTCAGTTTTTTGTGGTTCAACATGTATCTTAATATATTACATTTATGAGAAACAGAACACTGTTAAACAGAGTGGCTAACGTTGCTGTGGAAACCTGAACTTCATGACTTTTTTAAGTGATTAAGTGTGATATATTTTTTTTAACTGTGCAGAATTATGGTATTAACACAAATCTTTGCATTTACAATGGATAATTGGTGACTATAAAAATGTCCTGGGACACACTAGTAATAAAGCTCTTTTCCAGAGAGAGATTTGTTAGTATGGGTAGTGTAATTGGACTACACCAGCCTTGAGCACAGAACTATTTATTTTGCATGGTGTTTTCAGGCTGAAGCAGTTGTCAAAAGAAAATATCTCCTAGATGATCATAAGCATTTCGGCAGAAAAGGCTAATGGGAATCCATCAGTTCAGGGATGGATGTCCTCATTAACAGAAATGGCTTTAGCGAGGGGAGAAGAAAAAACCACCACCACACAGGTTTCAAAAGAAGGATGATAAATTGAAAAATAAATGGAGGTATTGGGCTAGATCCTTCCTGTAGCTAGTCATAAAGGGGTAACTCCATCCTGGAGTGGTATAGAGTCACCGTAATGGCTTGTATGCCACCTCCAGTGAGTGACATTGGGGCATGCCCTTGGGAAACAGAGTAGGGCTGGGGGTTTACCTGTGTCCCAGTGATACCCAACTGCTGTACTGGTACATTGGTGTTATCAGTAGCCTTTGTAAATTGAAGCTCCCCTCAGTTACATCTGGGGGCCAACCTGGCACACACCTGGCCCAGGATCAGGTGAGGTGCAAAGGTGGCTTAAAGCTTGCACACTCCGCAGCAGTTGTGTGTACTCATCATCTGAAGACCAGGTTTAGGACCTATAGATTCTATATATGGGCATTGAGGCACAATAGCTAGTCCCCCTCCTCCCTGCCCTCTGCCTCTTTCATCTTTGCTCTCTTTTCGTTATCATACTTTTGTGAAATATTAGACTGTAGGTATTTTGTGAATCATTAGAACTGAGCTATGGTACAGGAGCTGAATTCAAATACTAGATATAGTTTTGCATCATATCTTTTATACACTTCCCTGCATCAGGCAACACCTTACCTTAGATAGGATTCATTCATAGGAGACAGCAGGCAGAGATTTGACTGCTGCCATCCCATTGGGTTTATTCCACGGTGAGGGTCTCTATACATTGAAAACAGACTCCCATTGTTAGAGGCTGCAGTTGTGATGTGCTGAATGGGCCTTTTCAAAGATGCCTGGAACTACACCTCCTGTTCAGCCCATACCGCTCATTTTTTGGGCAGCGCTAATCTGCCTGGAGGAAGATGAGGCTGCCACTGCAAATTCCCTTAGTAGTGACTTTTCCACAGCTGGGTGTATCTTGGTTGTGTGACAATGCAGTGATAGCTTCTTATAACATGTAAAATATGTACATAAACTTTTCCCCCTTCCTTTAGCATTTCCAATCTGGGCATGTTTGGTATCAGTGGCTTCATTGCCGTCATAAACCCTCCTCAAGCCTGCATCCTAGCTGTGGGACGAGCTCGACCAGAACTCAGGATTGTGGAAGATGAAGAAGGGAATGAGAAACTTCTGCAGCATCAGCTTATGACAGTGACACTGTCAAGCGACAGTCGGATGGTGGATGACAAACTGGCTTCAGTGTTTCTGGAGACCTTGAAAGCAAACTTAGAGAATCCGATACGACTTGCCTTATGTTAAACTGATCAGGGATTGGCTCCTGCTTTGGCAAAATATGGAACAAGGTTACAAAACTGTTCCCCTCTCCTCCCCCCGCTGCCCCAGAGAAATAACGAATACTAAGCATGAGGGGGATAATTAAAATATTTAATTTATTTGAATTAACTTGAAAGACTCTTCAGATCCGGCTTTGTGACCATTTCCAGCTCTCAAGTTTTATACTGTAAAACTGAAACACTTTAAAGAAATATTAAAATAGAGTTAATGCATTAAAGTTCTTTCACTGCTTAATAGCAACTGCACCAAATTTAAACATATACGTTACTGTTTAATTAGAGAGAGAAGTTTAGAAAACTTGGGAAATTTGCATGAGAAACGTGAAATGAAAAAGGGAATGATACAATGCTTTGTTTAAGGACTAAACAACTAGCTTTCACAGTGAGGAAAGCAAACGGCATGACTGAGCAAGATGGCCCTATAAATCCCAATCATCATTAAGAGAATCAAACCGGCTATCGTTTCAAGCAATATATTTTAGTTATTTAATATGTGAAGAGGGTTCCAGCTAAAATCTTCTGTTAGAGTTGGGTGATATAAACTGTGAGAGCTCTGAGATTTTTGACAAGGATTTTGCTAGGGGTTCTACTTGACACTAGATAAGTTACTTTGGTTGGTGACACATGACCCTATGTAAGTTACCTTGGTTTGGTTCATGTCACAAACTCAACCATTCTTGACCTTCTACTTTACTATGAGATTTTCCAGATGAATACAACAGAGGGTGGAAAAATTCTAGTGCACAAAAAACAAATTACATAATGGATGTAAATGGAAAAACTCAAATAAAATAAAATATTAAATAGCCTATTAGCATCTAAAGCTGGATTTGAAAATGCACTTAGCATTAGATTAATTAAAAACACATTTAAAGTGTGTGTGGGTATGCACTTCAGCATTTTAAGATCTCTACTTAATGTAGTGTCCCACAAAGGAGACAAATAAATTTAATAAATGTGTCAGTAGGAGTTTTGTCATTTACTTCAATAGAGCCAGGATTTCACCCCAGATATTTTTATCATTACAAGCTTTAAATCTGCAATAAATTGTGAAAGTGAGACTTTACTTTTTAGCCCAATACATTATTACAGTAGTCATGAGTTCCATTAAATAATTTAAATGTTGCCCTGTATCAAAATCTAATTGGTGTGTCCTTGTTTGACTATCGCAAATTGCAATAGTGCTTTTGCAATTGTTCCATGGTATGTTATCTGATGGGTAACTGAAAATTGAAGTATGTTTTGCAGACTGAATATCTTGATGATCTTTCTATCACAGAGTGGTACCAACTTCTTCATCAGACCTGAGTGGCAAAGGTCAGATTTTGCATACTGAACATTTTGCTCAATAAATCCCTTCTTTGAATGGAAGGAATGAATGAATGTATCATTACAAAGTGCATATCATAAGTAGATGGATACTGAATTGTAATTCAGTTTGAGTAGCCTTTTATTTGGAATCCCTATTATGATAGTTTACTGTATATATCATATGGAAACAATGGGAATTTCCAATGAAATAATTCCAATGAGGGGATCTGATGACAACATAAGCCACTAGTGCCCCATTCAAGTCCTGGAGTCTGTCACCATTAGAGCCACCATATTTGGTTGTATGTAATTCACTGCACCAATTTGTTCTTTAAGATCCAAACTTCTTAAGTATTTATTTACTCACCAAGTTGTTGCAATAGTAAGTGTATATCTAAAACTAATGTCAATGTTCAGGTTGGAGTTTTCACAAAACTAGCTTGCTTCTTTAACTGATGTGCGTGAATGATACGACATGAGAAATTCATAAGCTATCAAGCTGACACTGTATTTCTGATTACTTACATAGGGTTTACTATGCTATTATTCATATACCCTTTTTGTATTGGCAGATTTTGTTATTGATAACTGAGATTTTCAAACTTGTATGCTTTTTAGGTTCTTAATTTTTAGACACCTAGACATATATGGTCTGATTTTTTTTCAGAGGTGTTGAGCAGCCCCAGGTCCCATTGAAGACAAAACATCTACATATATATATAGTGCCATTGGTAATAATGAAATTGAATAGGTTCTAATGTGTTTGGATAGCTAAATCTAGTCTGCCTAGTAAAATTCCCCTTATGATTTTAAATCTGGTATCTATTCTTCATTTCCTGTCCTAAAGGGAAAGTGGGGTTCATGTGTACTCGTCAACAGTTATATGTTCCACCCCACAGGAGGCCACAGTTCAGTGGTGGGCAAAGTGATTCCTACTTAAAATTCATACAGTCAGCATAGTTTGCAAATTGCTTTGGGAGCTACTGGAAGGTGCTGTTGTATATGAACATATAATCATAATGTTGACAGCACATGGGGAACATTATATAACAAATTCCTCTATGCTGCTTGTACAAACAGATGCAGTGCAATTTTTTTCATGGTAGCGTGAGATTTTTTTTTTAAACTGCGCTTCTATCATAGCCATGCAGATTAACTTCAGCGTGTGACCTGTAGCTAACCCCTTCACAGCATGCAGAATGGTTACTTGTAAGCATCCCAACATTGTCACTGGATTGAAATATAGTTGGTGACGCATGATGTGTGCTGCCCATCCGACTGAAGAAAGTCTGAACAAGTGAAAATGTCTTGTGGTTTCAACCTAGTCCTAAGGAGATGTGTGTCCATATTACAGAGTAACCACAACATTTGGCACAGCAAATGACTTCTACAAGAGAAATGGAACAGCAAAATTGGTGCTGATTAGGATTAAAATATACAGAAAATATTTCATTCTGGAAAACTTGGATTTAAAAGTATTGTGGATAAGATGTTTCAGAAGTGTCTTAATGGTTAAATATGAAACAGTTTTACTTTAAATAAAAAGCTTCAAAAGTATCAAATACCTCATGCATTGTTCTTTGTGAATTTATCATTGTCAATATCTTTGGCATGTCTAAGCAAGAGACTCATGAAGAAGTGATCCAATTTCCTAGGAAGGAGGAGTCAGAAAATTGAAAATAGAGATCTATGAACAGTGTACTAACATTTTCTGCTGGAAACATGCTTCCTGTGAACAGGGATATGCTTGAATGTTCAAAGTATAGCTTTACTTTGAAAAGAGAAATTGAGAAAGAGGACCAAAAATAGATAACATATTTTGCTTCAAATGCATCCTGTGCTTGACAGCATGTCAGAAACAGTATGTACCCTCCCTATACTAATTAATCCCAAATTATGTTATCTGTGTAGATGACTTTCTTTCTGAGACTTTTTTTTTTTTTAAATCTGTCGTCTCTGGAATCATCCCAGATGTGAATTTCTAAAACAACGTAGGTGCTGCAAAGTGATTGGATAACACTGAACCTCTTGTCTCGTGTGTTGCTATATTCCTACACATAATACAGTATAACCTTTTTAGATCCCACTAATGACGAGTCCTATTGAACATTACAAACTTTAGCAATTTAGCAGGCAAGCCAAAAATTTGATGACCAGGATCCTGTATCAACACTGCCTTTGTGGACGTGGACCTGTGTATTTTGTATGTACATTGTTGTAGTGGGTAAAAATTGCAGTGTATTAAGTGGAGACAGGAATGTATGTGGTATATTAATGAGAGAGGAATAGTTATATAATTCTGAGCCATTGGAGCAAAGTGTCCTACAGGCCTTTGTCTCAATGTGAAGTAGTCAGTGCAATAGATGAGGGAAAGTATGGAAATGGGTGGCTCCGGGGATTGATAATCTGATACAAAGCCTTAGTTTTCTCAATTGTTTGTTGGTTTGAAACTGACTCATGTTATTGAGAGAGAATTACTATCTGGTGGCTGCATGGTGACCTGTGGGAAATGAATTGATGGCTTCAGGTCAGATGCCCATAATGCAAAACACACCAATACACCTGAGCTCATGCAGGCAGTCTTGGTGAAGTAGTAAAGGATTGAGTAGAGAGAAATTGCCTCCTCACCCCCACATGTTATCCAGAAATGGGCCACGATGGGGAGCAATGTGTGGGAAGCTTGCATAGCTGCCCCCTTTGCTGTAGCTGTTCTGTGAACGAGGACCTTGCTCTCCAGGACTGACAAGCCAGCATCTTTCACAAGTACAATATTCACTAACCTTCAAAGAGATTGAAGAGTTCTATTGGACTAGATATGATTTAGGATGTGTCTACACTATGAAATTAGGTCAATTTTATAGAAATCAATTTTATACCGTCGATTATATGTGTCCCCACTAAGCGCATTAAATCGGCAGAGTGCTTCCACAGTACCGAGGCTAGCGTCGACTTTTGGAGTGTTGCACTGTGGGTAGCTATCCCACAGTTCCTGCTGTCTCCGCCGTCCATTAGAATTCTGGGTTGAGCTCCCAATGCCTGATGGGGAAAAAACATTGTGGCGGGGGGGTTTTGGGAAATGTCATCAGGCCCCCCTTCCTCCATGAAAGCAATGGCAAACAATCATTTCTCGCCTTTTTTCCTGGGTTACCTGAGCAGACGACCTACCACGGCAAGCATGGAGCCCGCTCA